GGTGCAGACTTCTCATGAATAATACCAATATTTTCAAAATATTCTGGAAAATGGTATTCACCGTCTCTATCAAACCTAAGTCTCTTTATTTTGACACGATACTGATTTTCTACTTCTGTTTTAAAAATCTTGAATTTATCAAGCACCTCATCTTTTGAATGCAAAGGATAGATATGATAGTACTTAGAAAAATTATCAATGAATGTTACAAAATATTTCTTACCACCTCTAGTGGGGGTACTATACATGTCACATACATCACTATGCACAAGTTCAAGCATATATGTGATTTTATCTACTTTAGGAAATAGAATACGAGTAACTTTAGATTGCACACAAAATTTGTATTTTTCAAACATATCAATGTCATACTTAGGTATTAAATCTAAATTAACCATATCATGCATTTTCCTAGTATTAACATGACCTAAACGAGCATGCGATAAAGAAAGAGAATCAACAATATAAGTAAAAACAGATGTATTATTGATAACGTTAAGTTTGAACATTCCCTGATACATATAGCCCTTTCTAACAAAGATCCCACCCTTAGACATGACAAATTTGTCCGACTCAAATACTAACTTGAAACCATACTTATTAAGCAAGCTTCCAAATATAAGGTTTTTCCTGACATCAAGTACATGATAAACATCATTAAGACTTAAGACTTTTCTAGATGTAAACTCTAGATCCATTGTCCTTTTGCCTTTGATAGCAGCAGTTGAAGAGTTTCCCATGTAGAGAACTGTTCCATCACTCACTTGTTCATAAGTAGTGAAACGGCTCTTGTCGTTGCAGACGTGCCTTGTTGCTCTTGAGTCAATTCACTAGTCACCAGCATCTTCGAGCATGTTCACCTCAGACATAATAACCGCGAACTTGTTTTTGGTATTTGATACTTCTGGCTTCTTCTTGTATGATCAACATTCATTTCTGAAGTGCCCTAGCTTACCACAATACCAGTAAGCACCGTTCGGCTTCTTAGCATCCTTCTGAGGTTGGGGGTTATGCTTATGCTTCGTTTTGTTGAACCTCTTGCCATCATCCACCATGTGAATCTTGAAAGTCTGAGCCAATTGGTTTTCTTTACTTTCAAGAAGTCTTGACTTTTTCTCAACTTGAAGGCGTTGAGCCAATTCCTCAACTTGTTCTCGGCTTCAAAGTTTTTTTTTAAAATCCTTCCAAGAAGATGGCAGTTTATTTATTATAGACGAAACTACTGTAGAGATCCTAATTTTTGGTAATTACACTTGAAACCTTAGGCCTTAGGTTAATTGCATTTTAGTCCCAAATTTTATAAAATTTTACAAAATGGTCCAAGAAAGAATAATTTTTCTATATTTATTTTGTATTATAACTAAATCCTAGAATGCCATTTTTATATTTGAAAATACCCCTAACACTTAGTTTTTATTTATTTTAACCCTTAGTCTCTACATTAATTCATACATTTTATTTGTTTTAGCCTATTTGAATATTTATTAGTTCTTTGCATCTTTATTATTTATTTGAGCAAATAAATATCTTTAAATAAATATTTTTATTATTTGTTTTATTATTTAATTGAGCAAATTAGTGAAAAACAAAATATCTAGATATTTATAAGTTTTCTTAGTCATTAAGTAAGAAGGGTAGAATGGTCTTTTTAACCTAAATTCATGGCCTATAAATTGCGATCATTGTCTCAATTTTCACTCTCACATTCCAGTAGCCCAGGGAGAGGGTGAGAGAGGGAGAGTGTGATTAGGGGAAGTAGAGAAGAAAAAAAAAATGTGACTCAAGAAGGTAAGAACCACACATCTCTCTTGTCTCCTCTAATTTAAAAGAAATATCAAATTTATTTATTTCTGAAATCTGAATTTAGTGTAAGCAATTTGGTGTGTTTAGAGCTTGTGATAATTTTATTAGCCCCTAATTGTGTGTTTTTAGGGCTTGGATATTTTGTTTAAAAATCTGGTCCTGAGTCTCTGCAAAAGAGTCCACTTTTTGCAATTTTATAAAATTCTAGGAAAATCATATCATGTTAGTTCTTTTGTCAAAATTTAGAATTTTGAGTCCTCTTTCCAACAGAATTTATTTGGGCAAAAATCATCGGGTAGATTGAGAGGAAAATTAGTTTTCCCAACGGGTGACAAATCTGGACAAGTTTTCGAACAGAGCTTATAGATGAATTTCTGGAGGTGCTGTGCAAATCCTAAGAATTGAAATTGAAACTAGACAGGTTGATTATTGTTTCTGTGCAATTTCAGCCCCTAATTTGACCTGAAAGTATTTTTACCAAAGCATTATTGTTAGCCTTGCAGAACTGAATAGTGCTGAAAATTGTGTTTTATTGTGTTATTTGTTTCTAAGTGTTTCAAAGCATTCCTGATGTTGTTTTCTTGCTTTACCATACTTATGTATACTTATCATGGGTTATATTTCCTCTCTTATGTTTGTCTCATGCTCTTTTATATTACCAAATTACCGAATGTGACTAACTTGTTTGGCAAAAGATCTAATAAACGGGAAATGATAAGGAGTTGGCAATGGGTGACGTTCACATTAGTGTTTGAATAATTTTTACATATGAATGACATGAATTATGATGGGATTAAAACCAAATGAGTTAAGTCTTGCGCAAGCGGTCTAAGCGAGTCCTTAGGTTGACACAGATGTATTCAGACTCTATGCGGTGGTTTCAGGGTGTAAGCGAGCCCTAGGTACGATTGGGTATGGTATGTGCAAGGTGTAAGTGAGCCTTAAGCACGATTTGGGTGTAAGCGAGCCTACTTGTTTGGTTGTCCCTTTTGAGGTCCGTCAATGTCACTAACCGGTAAATAACCGGAAGGTGGGCATAAGTGATAAGGTCTACAAAGCAGTAAAAGGGGGAGTTCTAAATAGTCCGGTATTCAATCCTTGTGGTTGGGTAGAAGGATCTCTTTATGGGATTCTAGATGTCTAGTCTAACTACTTATTCATAGAACCTTATTGTAATGTTGTATTTATGTTACCCGATTTGTTCTGTGTATGGTTGATTGGTTGATAAAAGATATGGGGGTGTGTGTCTTTTTACTGGGCATTCCAAGCTCATGGCTTGTCATGCCAGGTGATGAAACAGTTTACAATGGCGAAGGTTAATTCGAAGGCAAATAGGATGAAGTGTTAGAGGTGTAGTTCATTTGAAGACGTATACTAGTTGTTGTTTTTTTTTTTTTCCTTTTAACTTTTGGTTTGGCAATGTTTTGGTCATCTTGTAATGGACCATAAACAAATTATCTGTGATATTAACTCTTCTTATATATATATTAAAATATTTTGGTTATCTATCCTATTTATGTTGTATTATTGTACTTATTTAACGGCCCGGAAGTTGGGGCATTACAACTACAATAGATTCATCCATGTTCATATTCTTTTGTCGAAATTGACTCAAAATATATTAGATCTCATGGAATTGTTCCATAATGGGCTTTGTATTAATCATAGTAAAACGCATAAAATTACTAATAAGGAATTTCTTACTGGTGGCATCCTCAGTGAGATGCTTTGACTGTAAAATGTCTTATAGTTGCTTTGCCGTTTCTAGATGTTGATACACATCGAACAGAGAGTCTGACAGCGCATTCAGAATGTGTCCTCAATAAATGTAGTCATCATTCTCCCATTTGGTTCTGGTACGAGTTTGCTTCATAGTCTCGTCTTCTTACTCCACCGGATAAAGGGTAGTTAGCACATAGACCACTTTGAGAGTAGTGAGCAAAAAGTGCATCTTCTTTTGCTAACGTCGAAAATTTTCGCCATCAAACTGGTCAAGTTTCATGAAATCTTGAGTCATTTTCTAAATAAACATCGCCATATTTACATATTGTGTTTAGAATGTTGGAACAATTTGTCTTGAACTCTTCAATTGGTGGTTTTTGGGTCTTAAAAACTTGGCGATGATCTTATCTACGTTAAACAGAAATTTAGTGCTTTAAGTCGCGTTACTTAGTCGCTTTCTTAAAGACAATATTTGCACTCACCAAAAAGGCGTGCAGGGGGTTACAGTAAATTTGCCTCTAGGATACAATGAAACCTGATCTAAAGATCAAGTCTATCGAAAAGTGCGCCATCAAACGCCACACAGCTCACTGCCCACGCCACGTGCGCGCGCGTGTGCTTATGTAGATAGTGCGAAGCACTATTCTTGCGATGGGGATGCATCACACTAGCTTTCATTTCACAATTTCATATTCAAAGGAATATTCCATCTAGCACTTTATTAAGTGTTTCATGTTTTCATCTCTTTCCGATGTGGGACAAAGTCCCCAAGCATATTTCAAGCTTTTAAAAGAAAAACAATGAAGGTTTTGAAAACATTCAAAAATTAAACTATACATTTTAAAAATCATTTTGAAAATTCCCCAACATACTAACATGAGTATGGATTAATGTGAATATTTATTAAAATATTTTTTATTTTTTATTTCTAACATTTTTTGTTTACTTTTTGGTAAAATGACAACTTGACATAAATGGCACTTGGGATAAGAAATTTATTTAATACTCAAAAATAGTGTTAAGAACACAAAAGTGAGATAAAAGGGTAGGCGTAAGTGTCACATGGGAATCACATGGAACCATACATTATGTATTCTCATCTAGTATTTGTGTTTTATTCTATGAAACATATCTTTTGTTCCTAGACTTATTGAAAAAATATATATGCTATCTTATCTTATTTTTTATTTGATTTAAATAATAAAACTTGTATTTAAATATTATAAAATATTACTTCAAAACTACCAAATATTTTTTCCTTAGCCAGCCACTAGTTCCAAACACGCTAAACCAAAAGGAAAATATTAAAAAGTGTTTATCATATGCATCTTATAATTAAAAAGAAAAAATTATATAATTTTAATTTTTTGAGTTATAATTAAAAAAATCATAATTAAACACAATGTAAGACATAATATCATAACTAAAAAAAAATTGATCATAATTAAAGAAAAAAATTACATAACTAAAAATATAAATAGTCCACCCTTTTCAAAGGGACATATACTAAAATTTCCCAAATTAAAAAGTGAACTACATCAATTAAAGCTGCCCCAAAACATGGTAAATAAAACATACACGTACAAAACACATAAGTATTATGTATTGTATTATTGTTTAGTGAGAAATCTCAAAGCTTGTTGATGAAATCTATGATCTCCCCAATCAGACGATCAACACTAGTTCTCGTCTTGGGGTCAACATCAACGGCTATCTTGTTCAAATAGTAGCTATGTCCCATTCCTTCTTCAAACAAAATCTTCACTTCCTTTCCTGCCTTTTTCATTTCCTCACCATACTCCAATTCCGAGTCCCGAAGCAAGTCCATCTCTGCCACCACCACCATCATTGGCGGCAGCTTCAACCCCGCTAGTGGTGGTGCCGCCGGACCCATTGGGCACGTAATCGGGTGGTCTTTAGTGCTACCAATTGGTAATCCCAAAGTCAAAAATTTATTTATCATCTCACTTGTTAACATTGGTGAATCGGGTAAGTCCAAAAAAGATTTACTTGGCTTGGCTCGGATGAAGCCGGGGTGTATTGCTATCCCACCAGCTATCTTAGTCGGCTTGGAGTCAATGGCTCCGACTCTAGCTCCAACTCGGGCTGCTACTTCATGCACTAGATTTCCACCCGTGCTATCACCCACTAGAAAAATACGACTAAAATTAGCGTAACTCTCAAGCCATGGCTCGGATGAGTTGCCTTCAGCAACAGCACAAAGCCATAGGTAAGCTGAGTAGGCGTCATCACATGCAGCTGGGACTCGGTTCTCAGGACCAAGCCGAAGATAGACTGACACACAAACGGCTTGAGCCGATCGCACAAGCCTAGTGTAGAAATGGTAGTACAAATACCAATCGGCTTGAGTAATGCAAAAGCCACCACCATGGAAATGGAGAAACAGGGGTAGCTTATTCTCATCCGGGATATCACTATTCCTCTCTGGGACATATATCCGGACTGCAAGGCCGCTGTTTGGATCAATTGTTACGTCGCGAATTGCGACCCCATCAATGAATTCTTCGTGAGGAGGGACTGGTTTCACCATGAACTCGAGTTCTGGGGGTCCGGTCCACTTGCGGTCAACCGTGCCGTCATGGAAAACCCTAAGCCAGCCGGAAACCTCCTCAACAACCTTCTTGGTATAAGCCATGGCTGCCCTTATGAGTTCAAACACTTCGCTTATGAGTGCTTTCTTTATAGTGAGTTTTGATGTAATTTTTTTCTACTAATAGAGCATTATAGACTTGGAATTTAGTTAGTCCACTTTAATAATGTGGGGAAAGAAATGTTGGACTAGACATCTGATAAAGCAAAACAAACTAAGAAAGTGAGGCCAAAGTGTCCATTAACTTGGTTTGCCCTACCAGAAAAAATGCAAAGATGTGACCAGAAAACAAGTTGGAGAACACTACTTCTTTGGAGGAAAAATTATTTTTTGGCTGAATGATAATGTTATAAAACAATCTCAATCATTTATTTACGTAAGTTTTATGCATAAGATTGTTTTGTAATATTGTCACACAAGTGGAATTTACATAAATATATAATTAAGATTATTTTGCATATTGTCATGTTAATGGGAAAAAATAAATAATGGGACAAATTTCTCTCAAATCTCTTTGTAGATGACGGGAGATGTTGTTAGGGTCCGTGGACCTATCATGAGTCTCACTTAAAGATCTAAACTGTTATTATGTTAGATTATCTATGTAGATTAATTTTTTTTTAAAATTATAGTGATCTAATAATTATAACTCATGATTTTATCAAATTTGAATGCAAAATAATAATAATAATAACCTATTTTTAAAAATCATCTTTATTAACAAATGTTGTCAAAACATATGATTACAATTATTAAAATAATTTAAATTTGTAATTTTTACACGTATAATAAAATAAAACAAATAATCCAAATCGTTAAAATGAAATATCACGAGAGTCAACTTTGTGGTGACTAGGTCTAAATTCACTTTTATAGTATAGTAGGAATGGATATCTTTCTCATTAAAATACATAGATAAAGTGAAAAAGCATTCCTAGATTCCTAAGAACAATGGTGCCGTTTCATGTGTAGGTTGAAAAGTTGATAATTAGAAAATAAAATTTAAAAGAATTTCTTTCTTGGTTTTTAAATAATTAAATTTTTTTAATTTATTTGAATTATTTTTATCTAAAAAATTGTAAACATAAGTTATACTAAATAATCTGATATAGATTCTTAAATTAAAATAAAATATAATCATTTCTTATAATCCACGCTAAACATGAACCTATCAACTGTTTTATGGTTGTTGAATTTTGATTTTAAATGCGGCTCATCTCACATCTAGAGCAACTTCTCATTCAGGGTCATTAGATGAGTGATCTTTCTCCGAATCACACGTTGGCCACTAACAAAAGTAGTAACCATTTAATTATAAAAAAATCAATGGTCATGATGAAATTTTAAAAACTTTAAAAGGATAATTAAGTAAAGAAGAAAGAATAACTCAAAAAATACTATCGGTTGACATGGACTTTTTTAGTCAACTATTTTGTATTAGAATTTTTTTAGTCTGACTTTTTTAATCTCATTTGGTTTTTGTTTTGGGAGTTTTTTAATTTTTGTGAGGAAAAAAAAATGTAATGATTATGGATAAAAATTAATATTTTGTCCTATTAACTTTTACAGTTAATTTTGTCTTTTTGTGATTATTTAGTCCCAAAACATTTGCCAAACCAGGGCTAAATTTAACCAATTACAAAAAATTTTAAAACTTGACTTGTTGACTTATTTTAGTTAATTTTAAATAAAACTAATTGAGTTTATTTAACTTTTAAACTTAGGTTATTCATGAATATGATTCAAATGTGGAATACATAGTGATCAAAATCCAAGCATATTCAAAACAATTATAGTTTGATTAATTAAATGTGAAAATCCTGTTTTATGACTTGATGTGGGCAAAGTCTTTCATTCCATCATAATTTTCAATAAGAGAAAATAAAAGAGTAAATATTAATAAGTGTCAATAGTCGGATTTAATTCTCATTAAATCTTATTGAAAATAAATCTTAATAATATCGTCGCTAAAACTAATTTTTTATGATAATTTTTTTTGCATGTGTAGCTAAAAATTGATAATTAGTGATTTTTTTTTGTCACAATTTTTATAACTTATCGCTAAAACTTACTATTAGTGATATCTTTTTTTGTAACGAATTTTTTAAACTGTTGCTGAAAGTTAAAAATTTGTGATAATTTTTTTAAATTGTCGCTAAAATTTATAATTAGTAACATTTTTTGTGATAAAATTTTCAAACAATTGTTGAAAATTAATAATTAGTGACGTTTTTAATATTATTTGATGAAAAACGCCATTAATTATCATAGAACTAATTGAATAATAAGTCCATCTATTAAAACTTATACGTAAGTCTCTCAAAATAAAATTCTAGTTTGTTGCATCAATGAATGGATTTTCAGTTTTAGTTATTAAGGCATTATCTAAAAACTTCACTTTTTAATTTATCTTTTATTAAAAGGGAGATTTATCCATAAATCCTAAAATTTAAACTTATGAACCGTTTGGTCCCATTTTTATTCTACTAAACCGTTTAGTCCTGGATAATTGTGAGGGACGGAATTACCCTCATTTGAACGTTATTAGTAAGATGCGGCTTGTTAAGCGTAAATTGGGTATGGCACATGTGTGTCTCACGTGGGGAATTACTGAATGGATGTGAGGTGTATTGAATGTGATACATTGTCAGGGTGTCACACAATGACAAACCGCTGTAAGGGCTTTTTTTTTTGGGTTGGGTCGGTGTGTTTGGGGGTTAACACAAGGCCCACAACACAATTTGGAAGGGGTTTCAATTGTGATTGATTGGACACCTACATATCCACAACCCGTTCAAGGTTAACCCGTTATGTCCATCCATATTCACACAGTCGTTTTGGTCTCCCATTCTGTACTGTATGAAACCCTACATGTGTGATTGCTAGCAATTTCGCTATTCCGTTTGATCAAATACGTCATTGCCATATTTGATTGTAGAAAGGATTACGTTTAGGAGGCTGATTAGATCGGTATAGAACGGTGTGACGTTGAAAAAAGTGGGAGATAAAGGAACCCTAGTTCATATAATCCTTCATCGGTGCTCTGACATAGTCCTTTCATGGACGGGGGATGGGTATGTTTCGTAACCTTGTTTTTGGTATTTGTGTTTGTTAGTGTGCTACATTGGATTTATGTATTTTCCCTGTCGATTTCATTCGCTTTGTTTAGTAATGGTTATGATTCATTCAAGTATGTTGTTCGTTATTTTGTTTGGCTAAGTTGTTTGGGTTTTGGTGTGTGTGTTTGTTGTTGGGTTTGGTTGGGTGGTTGGTTTTGTTTGTGGGGGTAAGGGGTCGAAGAAAGTGATTAAGGGGGACAATTTTGTTGGGGACCACACGTAGTGGTCAAAACAAGGGGTGGGGCTAAGTTGTGTGGTGTTTTTGTCTGTGTGTTGTGGTAATGTGGTGGAGGTTGTGGGCCATGGTTCGACTATTTGAGGGTGGGGTATGTTTGTTTTTGGTTTTTTTGGGGCTATGTGCCGGTTGTTGTGTGGATGTAATTCATTGGTGGTGTTTGCTGTGGTTTGGTTGGCTGTTTGTGTGGGGAATTAGTTGGAAATAACATTGGGAAGTGGGGTTGATGGTTGGGGCCACATATGATGGTGAACAGACCATTGGGGTGGGGTTTTGTTTGTGATGGAGGTTCTGGTTTTTTTTGGTATGGGTTTGACTTGTGTGGGGTTTGTTATTTCTGTTATGTGTGGTTTTTTTTTTTTTCCTGCGTCGTTGTGGGTCACTGCTTCCGTGGTGTGTGTGGGTGCTCTTTGTTGGGGTTTTGTTGTCTGTCATGTTGGTTGCTTTTCTGGTGTGGTACTGTGGTGTTTCATGTCAATTTAAGGCATGACAATGTAAGTGAGGTGTGTCTGTATGGGGTTTCTTGTTTGTGCAGTTGTTGTATTTTTTGTTGCAATGGTTTATTTATAGTGTTGCAGATAGCAGTATGGTACGAAGTCCGTGGCCTCGATCATGTGAGAAGCGAAGGGCTGCGGAAACATCTGGGTCGAAGGCACACAAAGTGGGTGTGAAAATGGAGGGACGCATCCTTTTCAAACAGACGAAAGTTGTGCATAATGCTGTGGGACGTAATGTGAGTAAGGGTAATGACTACCCACAGCGGCAGGTACGCACTAGGATTAACTACCGGTCAAACGTTGCCGGTATAATCAAACTTGTTAGTTCGACAAAACTGAGGGAGGCACATATGAATCAATTAAAGAGAACGCCATTTTGGATTATGGTCGAGGCGATCCACGTTAACAATTTGAACCACAATGAATTTAGGAAGTGTGATGATCTGATTTCAAAGATTATAAGAACGTATGATCCGCGTGATAATGCGTTTCATATTGAAGGGGCCAGTGTCAAATTTGCTAGTAGCGATGTGAGACTAATTTTTGGTCTGCAATGTGGGAAAAGACGTTTGGATTTATCTTCGAGTCAACGACCAGTGTCGGACTTCATTCAGCGTAGGTGCTGTGACACGTCGCGATTGACATCGAAACTAGTGAAAAGTTTGTTTGTCGAAGCTGTTAATGGGCGGACCAAGCAAGATGAGGAAGATGTGGCAAAGCTTTTGGCGTTGTACATGTGTGGCAAACTGTTTTTCGCAAACTCAGGTAAGACAATTAGTTAGGCATTTGTTCGGTATATGAACGACTTGGACACTATTAGGATGTACGACTAGGCTGGAGCAATAATGACAGCACTGATGGGGCGAATGAAGGAGTTTCATCGAATGCCATGAAAGGTGACAGGCTGCGTGGTTACGTTATTGGTATGTGAATGTTCAATTTAATTAGTCGTAGTAACACATACTTGTGCCAGATATATTAGTTTACTGATTTTTTATTTTCTTGTTATGTTTAGTATTGGATATGTGAACATTCGACAATAATTGAGCCGTAAACGGACAACATGTTCCCCAGATTCATGAAATGGGACATTGGGAAATTGCTGAGTAAAGCTCAAGGGGTTGATCTGTCCGGCCTAGTTAATTTTCAGGTATGTGTGTTGGGTGTGGTTGTTATTTAAAGGCTTATATTTGACTGTACGAACTTGTGTTGAGTTTGTTGTCATTCGTGATTGTAATATGTTTGTGTCTACGCAAGTTAAAGTAGA